GTGTTGTATGTCTCTAGTGCTCACTGATTACAGTGGATTACAGTGGAGGTTGTGGTCACTTAAAATGCAGCAGGGTCAAGTACAATATGTTGAATCACTTTTCTAATTTATTTCTTTAGATATAATACGTCATGGCTGAGTCTTGCTTTCTAATTTTCCTATTCCAAGCTAGTCAAAACCCCTGTGAAATCAATGAACCCTTTTATTGACTTCCATGTGTTTTGAATTGGACCTGATGAATATCTTTGATTAGATATGGCATGTGTTCCCTCTTAGATAGCTCCTTGTAGCCTGTCTTTGCAGTTCATTCATTGTTTCTGGTTTTAAATGTGAAACTTAAATAGTTTAACTCACATTTAGTTATTCTTTTTAAACCACTTTAGCTTATGCCTCAGCTGTTGTACTTAGACTCCAAGCAAATTTATTTTGAATGTTGTGCTGTTAAAAAAACAGCTCCACCATTATCTTATGTCTTAAGTTAGAAGCAAGTCAGGGTTGACAATCTCGGCAAATGGACCTGGTTTGAAGTTCTTCCTTCATATAGAGTTTTAGAGTGCTAGTCACAAAGAAGAGTGGTCATTTAGGAAGTTAAGAACATTTGATGTTTTGCAGGAGTCTCCTGAAGTACTTAGATAACTAAAAATCTCTCTCTTTACTTAAATGTAATGTTGATGGGAAGGCTGTTTTTTATGCATCTGTTCCATAAAGTCAGTGTGGGTGGAGAACTGAAGGCACAGCATAATGAGCGTAGTTAACTATGAAGTGGAAGATATTTCTTACTGTGGTGCAGTACTAAGGCCATCTCTCTTCTGTCTCTCTGTAGGCAAAAGATGATGGAATATATACCCACCAGGACCCCTGGGCAGTAAGGCAGACTTAGGCACAGATGCAGCAGGAGTGAATAGGCAGGACACATCTTGGTGAAGGTGTTGTGCTGGGCAGGGAGGCATATAGACATAATCTAGAGTGAGACTCAATTATAGTGTGTGAGTGCTCTTACTATTGCTTCTCTATAGGAGGACAAAGGTTCAATTATAGTATTCTTATGCTTCAGACTACTGAGCCATCTACTGTTATAGGTCCTGTCTCTAGAAAGGCGCTGAATATTATCCTTTAAAGAACAAGAAAGGTATAGTAGTAATACAAGTAAAGATTGAGAAGGAAGATTTCTCTCCTGAGCTGTTGTAAGTGATCACTGAAACATGAGGTTCAGTTACTCTTTTTAATGATGCTCTCTACTGGAGTAAAACTGTTTTTAATGATAAAAAACATGCAAGCCTTTTAAAATCAGGCTCATCAATAATGTTCTCTGATGACAGTGAATCCCACATGTTGTGTTTTATGGTTCAAATTGTACATTAAAGCTATATTTTTACTATCACTAGACCAAACACATGCAGCTCCCATAGAGGTCATTATTGATGTGCTTCTTTCAATTGGTGAGAAATTATGAGTTCCTTATTCAGTTGGAATTATTCTTTTTAATTGTCATGGTTACTTAGAGGCACCAGCTGTTTCTGACCTGATGCTGATGTACAATGGGAACTTGCTAATCAGCTCACTTTTTAATTATCTTCATATTTCAATTTGTTTAAAGGTAGGTCAATGAAGTGAGAGTTTATTAAAAATCTGATCAGGTAACTGGTGTATTTACAGCATATATATTTCCACTGACACTGTTGATTCACAGGCTGGAAAGAGTCCAGCAGAGAGCAACAAAAATGATGAGTGGCACAGGAAGCATGACTTATGAGGACAGGTTGAAAACACTAGGGTTATTTAGTCTGGAGAGGAGAGTCCTGAGGAAGGATTTGATAACAATCTTCAAATACCTGAAGGGCAATTATAAACAGGATGGAGATGGACCCTGTAAAGTGGGTCTCAGACTTTTCTCTGTAGCTATCAAGGACAGTGCTAGGAACAATGGCTTCAAATTTCACTAGAGGAAATTTTAGTTGGAGATTAGGAAGAACTATCTCACTATGGCAGGGGAGGAGGGGGTAAGCCTGGGAACAGGCTACCTAGAGAGGTTATGGAATTTTCATCCCTGGAAATTTTTAAAAGTAGGTTTGATAGACACTTGGCTAGGATGGTTCAGTCAGGGATGCTCCTGCCTTGAGTAGGGGGCTAGACTAGGTGACCTCATGAGGTCCCTTCCAGCCTTCCTTTCCTATGATCCTGTCAGAATTGTTATCAAAGAAGCTACAGATTACTTCTTTGTGTGTTTTAAGTCCTATGATAACACAGAATTTGAAATATTGAAATTTTGATTTAATAAAATGCTAATACACTCTGAGTATGAGCTGAAGAGCTCTCTACTAAGCTCAAGCATTTTAAAATGTCACTATAATACTTTGTTGATTGTTTGATCATTCAAGTGTGGATTCTGCAGGGTTCTGAGAGGACCCTTAGCTCCGGTTGTTATGCATAGCACTTCATAGGATCAGACCCTAATTCTATTCCCACTTGAAGTTGATGGCAAAATCCCACTGAAATTAATAGCAGTAGGTTTAGGCACTGGGTAAAACAGGAAAACAAAAGATTTAGATGCCTAATGTAGGCATTTAAGTACCCAAATGTCCACAATTTTACTCAGGTACCTGTACCACCACACCTATATGCATGCCCCAAACTTCTTGAGGCTCTGGTCCCTTCTCCCACGACTGTTTGTTCTGGCTCCAGGGACAAGAAGCCAGAACATCTCTTTCCCTGTGCCTCAATAGCTAAGCTATAGACTCACACTCCCTCTTGCTTCTTCTCTGACTCGATTAATCTTGAATTCCTTTCTGTACAGTGGCCCATTTTCAAGAGAAGATGTAGAGAGTAGCCCTTGGCAGGGGACCATCCTGTAACATGGTGGTTAGGGCACTCCCTTAGGAGGTAGAAATGTGGGCTTGAACCCTCTTGGGAGGAAAAAGGAATTGAATCCAGATCTCACACTTCCTGGACAAATACTCTAACTAATAGACTTAAAAAGTGGGTGGCAGCACCACCATCTCCTCTGAACATCTGAAAAAACGAAAGAGTCCTGCCCTGCTCTTTGAAAGAATGGCTGTTAGCACCTGTGCTTAGGAAAGGATTTTAGGTAGTGGATTCTCAGTGGAGTGATACTCCCTACAGCCCTGAGTGAGGTGCCCAAAGTCTGGAGAAAGGTACAGGATGTCAGATTCACCCTCAACAGGAAGTTGTACTGGTTAGCTAGGAGCTTCAGTGACTAATGCAGGGTTGTGCATTCCATACTGGAGACACTGCAGCCCAGTTCCTTGATTGGTTCCAGTTTAGGCCTTTGCTCTATTAGATGTCAATCTACAGACCCTTAACCTTGGGGATCACTAGTCATGGGAATAATCCCCTTTAATTCAATGCAACTATTCGTGTGATTAAAGATTTTCACTTGTTTAAATGCTTTAATGACTGGACCCTAATTTGCCAAATGTAGTAATTCACAATGCGCCTCTCAATTATTAGTAGAAATTAGCAAGCTTCTGCTGTACACACTAACAGAAAACCTTCTAGAGTGAGCTTTAATATAAATTAAGGACTACAGTCATTCCATCTGACATCTTCTCATCAACGGAATAATCATTAACATAAAAGATATGACAGCTTGGTTTTAATAAGTTCTGTAGGTGGTAGACAGGAATACTGAAAATCTATAGGCATTAAGAAAGTCTGTTTTTTTAATTTATATTATTGATATAATTACAAAAAAATCAAACTACAGTAATTTTATAGTTCTCAAAGTAGCTAGGATTTGATAACATCTTTCTAAATAACCTGGTAATCAATATTTTAGTAGCAAAAGGATCCAAAAAGCAGATTCAGGTAAAATCTTTGAGACTCCAGCCAGGAAAAGCCAAACTGACATGTCCAATGCTTTTAAGGTAAGCATGAGGAGGCAGCAGGGATGGGAACTTCTCTCTGGAACCCATCATAGAGCTTCTTGGGTCACCTTTTAAAATGAGGTTTCTGCAGATAGTGGACTACAATCAAGCCTTGGTTGTGGGCTTTGAACTCTTGCTGTCACAATATTAATTGATACGACACATAATGGCTGATTTGTTTTATGGACCTTTCCACCAGTGGTCTCAAAAGATATGCAAACATTAATTAATAAAAATTCTCAGCACCCTATGAGCTAGGTAATTATCATTATTGCTATATTACAAATGAAGAAACTGATGCTAGAGAGAGGAAATGACTTTATTGAACTCTGAGGCTAAGTACAGATAGTCAAATAACCTGAGGCTGAATCAAATAAATTTTTGCAGGTTAGTCTAAGCTTCATAGATTCACAGATGTTAGGGTTGGAAGGGACCTCAATAGATCATCGAGTCTGACCCTCTGCATAGACAGGAAAGAGTGCTGGGTTCAGATGACCCCAGCCAGATGCCTATCCAGCCTTCTCTTAAAGACCTCCAGGGTAGGGGAGAGCACCATCTCCCTTGGGAGCCCATTCCAGACCTTGGCCACCCTAACTGTGAAGAAGTTCCTCCTAATGTCCAGTCTAAATCTGCTCTCTGCTAGCTTATGGCCATTATTTCTTGTGACCCCTAGGGGTGCGTTGGTGAGGCGCCACCTCATAGATTGAACCAATAAGCCAGTAAACAGACATTCACATTTTGATTCCAGAAATGCAGCCACATCCCTGCAGTGGCCCCCCAGAAGCCAGAGGATGCTAGAGCATGACACCCTGCTTGGCTGGTGCAGACAGCTTGGGCCAACACTAGCCTGCCAGCAAGGGGGAGTTTGCCAGGAAGGTACAAAGCATCCTGGGATGCTGGGGGTCTGTGAGTTAACTTGAATCTGGAGGGGATCTTGGACAGAAGTTCAATACACCATTTAACCTAAATCAGTTAAGTCTGATACTGCATTCATCCAGGTTTATCTTAAACTGGTTTGGGGCATTTTGAAAGCAGTTTATGTGCACTGAACTTCTGTTGTGTTACAGATCTGAACTGGTTCCCTATCACTTATACCCGTTTATGTGGAATGCCTGTCCCTTGCCAGAGTGTCGGTGGCATAGTTGGGAATAGAACCCAGTTTTAAAGAGCTCTCCAGTTAGTGTTTTAGCTTTAAAATGATCCTTTTTCTGCTGAGTAGCAAGCAGTCAGTAGTAGTTATATCAGTAACATCCATAAGGTTTACCCAGGACTCCTATTCAGAAAAGTCTGATTTGCTATAGCTAGGATCAAGTATATAATTCTGCATATTGGAGTCTATTACTTAGATCAGTTTTACATTGTTTTGGAATAATGAATATTCTGCATTTTTACCAAAATAGCTCATCAGCTATAGATTTTCATGCTGCTCACTTGATTTTTAAAGTTATTTGAACTTACTGATGAAACATAAATTTCAATGAAAACTTTTAATGAGAACTTTGATATAGATTTGGAGATGTCCTATTGTCAGCATCTTTAAAATGATCTTTGTGCACTAACATTTCTGATCACCATTGTTCAATTTCACAAGTTAAGCATAAGGTCTCTTGCGTGTTGGATCCTGTGCAATATAAAGAGCAAGGCATCCTTCTGGTCTCTTCCAATGGTACCTAAAAATACAGAGAAAGACCATTTAATTCGAAAAGTTATGTAGTTGCAATGCAGGGGAATGTGATAGGGACTAATCTGATTGCACTTAAACCAGTTTCTTTCTGGTCATCTCTATTCAGTTCAGTGGAGTTACTTTCCATGAACACCAATATAAACAATATAAGAATAATACCCTTTAGTATAGCAGGAAAGATATGGATTATACCAGGTGAGCTATTCAAGTAAGTAATTGCCTACTTTATATATGGGTCCAAGTCAAAGGGCTCTATTCTGCTCTCATGCAGGGGTAATAATAGAATAATTCTAATGAGTTATTAGCTTTAAAAGTACAGCCTTAAATCAGGATTTCAAATGCACAAAAGTTCAGGAGTATTTTGATTTATGCTCTTTATTATATTAGAGAAATAACCAGAGACCATACTCAGATCAGGATGCCGTTTGCTAGACGCTAAAGTAAGAATGAGTCCCTGCCCCAAAGACGTTACAACTAATGGCCCCAATCTCCTGTGACCTGTTTTGCCCAGGGCAGAGCTGAGGACATGTGGGCAGGAGATCACAGCTCTGCCCCAGCTCCAGACCACTCTGTCACCTCAAAATCCTGGCCCCAGCCCCAGACCTTGATCCAGTCTCCAGGGAAAACCTGGCCCTTCACTGTCATGGCCCTACCCCTCCTGGGGTCTCCATGGCAACAGGCTGCAGTGATGTGGGCAGGGACTGCTGGGAAATGGAGTCTGGCCACTGGCCAGATCTGCCATTTTGCCCACGCCTAGGTCAGAGCCATATGTCTCCCGTCCTTGTGCCCGGAACAGGGCAGAAGGGTTTGGTTTTGTTCAGTAGTTTATTTGCTTGTTGGCTTGCTGCTCAAAGACTGTACTTCATTGGGGAAGACTGGCTCCTCAGGGAGCAAAACCCACATGCAGCAACCAACAGGCTAGGAGACCCACTTACAGGGCCGCTTTCTTTCTTCTGCTCTGTCTTTGAGGGGGTCTACACTGAGCTGTATGCCCACTGCATTTCATTCTTACCACTTCTCTTGTTTTACCAGGCAGGATAAGCTATAACAGATATCATTTTTTACAGGGGATCTGCTGTTCTAGACACACACCCTCATATAGACCAAAGGAATAAGATGCAGAACTGAGGCTTTTGTTATCAAAAGCTGGGAAACCATGCCAAGAACCCTCTCTACTCACGTAGACTGAGCAGGGATCAGCAAGCTATCACCAGCAGTCAGAGTCAAGGTTTTACCATCCATAGCAACAGCAGATGTGCTTTCCTAAAAGACAAAAACAAGCAGCTTTTAATTCCTCATGTGCTGTCACTGGCAGGAAGAAAAGGCTGATACTAAGAAAGAAGCACATTTTAGTAAGAAATCTGGCATTTCCACAGAAACGTAGTTCAAAAATGGTTCTGTTCTGCATGGCTTATCTTAAAACTTTAGCTGATCTTCTTCGCCTGGCAGACTTAGCAGCAATAAAAACAAGTTTCAGACTTTAGTTCCATAATGAAGTTATACAGAAACCAGCTTATCCTGCATATGTTGTTAATGAGCTAACCGAGTGGCCTGCTTTTCAATACGGCTGTCTAAACATCACAGGGCTAAACTCCTTGAGTATGTTTTTTCACAGGTTTTCTCTTTCTTTTGAGACTCCTGAAATGCCTTTTAAGGTTGAAAAAGCTGTTCACAACTGCTGTTCACAACAGTGGGGAGCTGGTAGAAGTTACTGATAGAAACCCATTTACAGTGAAATGGATTTATCATTGTCCTGTCAGGCAAAGATGCCAAATTCTTGCCAACCTTACAGGATCTGGCTGTCTTCTGTCAGCTGTACAGACAAGGTTCTTTCAAGATATGTCTTTAATTAGCATTAGATGGTTAGTCTCTGTGAATTTAAACAGAATGGCAACAGGTAGAAGTATCTGGCATCTTGATTTGTGTACATGGGAACCATTTCTTCTGTTCTTTTTTTCCTGTTGGGCTGCATATAGACTAGTTCTTCTCCCAGAATAAGAAATTGATAAATACTAGAGTAGACAGTATTCAGGCATTTTGTTTTCAAATAGTCAAGTTCTTAGATTAAGTCCTTAGCACCCTGCTTGTTTCCTTCATGAAGATTCCAGTGCATGCGCAGAACTAGGGTAAGGCTTCTAGGGAAGGGCAATGGAGGAAGGGCCCCTGCAACCAATGGCACTTCCATGGATTCAGGGATGGATACTATTAAGCATCTAAGCCCCCATCATGATGTAGGACACTAGTGGCCCATTGGCCACATGCTGAGGAAGGGGGGCTACTTTTTAAGCATTGGCAAGTAAAAATGGCTTGCAACTGACTCACCAGTGACTGCTTGCCTATGACATTTTTCTTAGAGAAACGATAAAATTCTTTAATTGTTCTTGCCTGTGACTGGAAATTTTTTTTGGCAGAGATATCCACTCCACACTTAAATACAACTCCGCCCTTTGTGAATATGAATTGTCACATACCAATTGCCATATCCAGATATCCGCATTCTTCTGGTTTCCTTCACTTACTCCTGGCCCGTGAACTACAGCCTAAAAAATGAAAAGGGGTGGGGTGGGCGGTAAGAGAGGGGGAAGAAATGGTTTTTATCCCAAAGATTTACGTTAATCTTCCTAAAGTTTATACAATATTCAATTTCCACAGGAAATCTTTGTACAATGTGATATTATTTGTATATACCTGATTTGAATTTGCATGGCAGGTCACTGATATCCACCAATAGAAGGAAAACTGATCACACCTGCCACTCCTTATGCTTCTTCACCTACTCACTATATCTGTTCCCTTTGTCTCTTCCCACTCTCAGCTTCACAGTGTTATATTTGCCACCACCTGCTCTTGGAACAGACATTCTTTTCTTGTCTATTATGGGGTCTGATCCAAAAACTGTTGAAGTTGATACAATTTTTTCATTGATTGCAAAAGTCTATTGATCATGCCTCATGGGCTCATCTACACAAGATGTTCACTGCAGAGTTGTCTAATTAGCTCTGCAGTAAATGTCTCAGTGACTGCACATGCAACCTTATTACACCACAGGAAACTAATATACTCTGCAGTAGGTTAGTACTTGTACATACAAATACTATTCTGCAGTAGAGTTTTTTTGTCCACAGCACTGCATGTGTAGACACTGCACCGGCTGGCTGGGGCATATGGGTACTTCAGTTTGGGGGATGCCTGCTGGCTAGCCACATATTGGAGCACATTCGTGCCTCAGCCAGCCCCTCTGCAGTGTGTTGAGCTGGGTTGGAGCAGCCTCAGGCTGGCAAGCTGACCACCAGGGTCCCCTCCCAGCTGGGGCTGCTCTGATCTGGTTCAATGTGCTGTGATCCTAGGTACATGTGTAAACGTGGTGCCTGGGAGCAATAAACTCTGGCATAATACGTGCCAGAGTTTATTGCTGCACATTAATATGCACATGTTGATGTGCCCCATGTGTTCTTTTCTTCAAAACCCTACTATTGTTTGTCCATTCTGGATGGAGTTTGCTGATGGTTTTCAATACTTTCTGTCACTTGGATTGCTTTCCCAGAGTCAGTTTCTTTGGATATGTTTTGTAAGGTCTTTTACATATTGAAGAGCCATCAGATTATAACAGCCTTATTATACAACCTTATTATACTACCAGATTATACAGCCTTATTATTTCACAAACCAGTATCAGTCTTTGTATCAAGACTTTTATTTGAAATTAAAGGGGGGGGGGGGACTGAGTTAAATAGGCTAATGAATAATTTTTAAACCTACTATCTTTATCTGAAGATTATCAGAAGTGTAAATAGAAGTAGTTGTCTAACTCCAATTGACAGTTAATGAAATTGTGTATCTGTCATAAGGGCCCTTGAAAATACCCGCTATCTCAGTCAGAGAAAACAAAAGCTTTTACCTGTGTTTCAAAGTTGTCTCCAAAGATACTCAAGGACTTTTTTTGATTTATTTCTCTACGGTGATCATTTAGCCAGTCTTGGAAGGAAAATGGATCCATGACTGCAGTGGCATTTAGTGGGAAAGGTGTGACTTTCAGGAGTTCATCTGCAACCAAGACAGTATAGTAATAGTAGGGAAGCTCACTTCTACATCTTCTAAAAACTAGTTTGATCTTTGTTGATGGTTCCAAATGAAAATGTGGATAGCAGTAATCAAGACGTTAGTGATAAAAGTAACATATGTTGTCACAGAATCATAACTTAAGTACTTATTACATCAAATACAATGAACATTCTTGTTTTGATGGAAATGCATTTTCTGTGATATGGCTGGTGAATTGTCTTCTTTGTACGCCCTAGACAAATAACAAGAGAACCCCTGTAAAAGTTGGTTTTGTCCAAATTAAAACTTGTAGGGTTTTTAAAAATTATTTTCAAGTATTGCTTGCATCCACTAATGACATAACTGTGGTACAAGTGTATTCAGACATTATAGAATAGAAAGACTGGTCCAGAGATAATTGCATAATTCTTGCCAACCAGGTTCTTCATCCCCTTTCCACACTAACCAACAGTGATGAGCGGATTCCCATCTTGTAACTTTAATGAAGTCCCTCCTGATTTACCCCAGACTAAATGGAATTAGAATTGGGTCCACAAACTCATGTTACCATATGCCTTTCATATTCTCAGCAAAGGACTTATCGTCATTTTCTCTCCAGTATGTATTTTAAGGTGTTTTGAAGGCTTAATTGACCAGAGTGAAACAAATCAATTATCACAGCCTTAAATTTAATAAATGGTCCTCCTCAAGATGTTCCCGCAGTTGTAGTTCAAGTTAATTTCCAGTAGTTCTCCTTCATAACTGGCTTAGTTTAAAATATCTAAGAGGGCTAAAAGCAGTTTCAGTTTTGGTAGTTTTGTGCTGTGTGTTGCTATATAAAATTAATTTCAATCATTCACCAACCCACAGTAAAGTGCAGAGATAATGCAATCGTCTTTGAGAATCTTAGATAGTTTGTTCTGTGACACCATGAGGAATGTCTCTAGGGTACTTTCAAGTAATAATTCCAACTAGATGTAGAAAAATTCACTATTTCCCAAAGGTATTCAGGAAATGAGCACACAGCCAAGCCTTAGTCCCTGAGCAGATAATTTAGTGAACGTTATTGTGTTCTTTATGTGGTGGTCTTCTAACTCTCCTACAAATCACAAGCTTTTCTGAATGTATTATTGTGGGATCATACCTTGAACATATCACATCAAAGTTTTCCTCAGAAAGCCATCTTATACATTATTCTAGTACAACAGTGTTTGATGGGTGAGGTCTACATGAAAGGCAATGCACTATATTAAAGATGCTATCCCAGTATAATGGATTGTGTTATGCACAAGGTATTTGCATCCATATTTGATGCATAATAATAGGGATGCACAAGGCATTTGCACCTATAGTTGACCTTTAGAAAATAAAGACAAGATATTAAATCCCTTTCAGCAACTTTTGATATGGAGATACCTTCTAGTTTATAAATTTATTTTTTTCTATTAAATCATAGCATGATCAAGTAAACAGGTCAAGGTCCAGATTATAAGTAAAAACATTTTTGCTTATTTTGTCTTCTCCTTTCATGAACTGTGCATTTTATATCTATTGTTAAGAGAAGGAATCCTTAGATACAAATCTTTTTTTGCCATAGAATATTTGTCAGCAAAATACACCCAATTCTTTCTCATCCAGTTATTGGACAGTTATTCATATTTTTCAATTTTGTTTTAAAATAAACAAAACAAACCCAAAGTAAAGAAGACAAAAGAAAAATCCCAGCAAACCCCAGAAATTATGTGATTCCACAAGGACAAAATAGTGGAAAAAAATCATTATAAATCATGTTAATCTGGATCTGCAAATGCAAATAAGAATTAATCTTGGTTGTGTGGTTACTGCATGGTATTGCTGAAGGTCAGAACTGAGGTTATTTGGATACTTTAACTGAAAATTTTCATAGTGGAATATGCCTGGATGTCTTGTAGGTTCAACTTTCATTGTTCTAGATTCATAATACTTATTCTGGAATAATTACCATAATTACTCAAATATAAAGCAACTTGAATTATAGGACAACCCCTCACCCCTCCAATAATTAGATTCTATATCTGAAAATTTATAAATTTGAAATAATTTTTCAGATATAGAATCTAATTATTGGAAGTTTGCCTTGAATTTGACTCCCTCCCACTGCTGCAGCAGGGAAAATTAAATCTTGGGGGTCAAGCAGCCCACTTGCCCTCTGCCACCCCAACTTCTTCCTCTGTAGCCTCTTCACCCCCCACCCCCCATTACTGTTAGACTCTGCTCTCCCAGAGCACATGGGAGTGAGTGGAAAATTTGCAAAATGCTGACTGAAATCTATAATATTTTAGTTCATCCAGAATTGGTGTATTTTGCCTTTTTTGAAACTGCTGCAAGTTTTAGCACAGGTACTCCATAAACATACTTTTAAACAGCACTTTTATACCTACTTATATATAGTCTAGACTATGCATGATATTAGCTCAAAGCCAAATGGTTCATGATTTACCATATAGTTCATGGGGCTGGGTCCCAGCAGAGTCAACAGCATTCAAACCATGGTGACTCCATAACACAGCATTGATCAGTATGTGTGTGTGCATCAGTTACCCTCCCACAAAGGATCCATGTGTTAGTTAGTCCCCCACTTATGACTGGAACTCATTGTTTTTGTCCCAAATTCTGAGATCCTCCAAAAATGTATATACAAATGAGGCATAGGGCAACCTGGTTCAGCTCAACCTCATGGAAGATGAGGCCACATTAATTATATGCAATAGGCTGAAAGAGGGGGCAATAGAAGGGTTCTAGATGAATTGTTTGGGGCCCTGTTTGGTGACGTTTGCCAGACATTTAAGGCTGGTGAAGAAACGGGAAGTATTGGAAATGGGAAAGAAACGTGTAGCTCAGCTGTGGGAGTGAAGATGAGGTTGAAATGTATTCAATGTAGTGGCTTACCATGACTTGTAAAAGAGTCATTGCTGGGTGGAATTGCACTTAATAGGCACTACAATATATCTTATTTAGACAGGCTGCACTAACTTCTTCTTGTGGAAAATCCATGCACTCCTCCTGGTGGTGACAGGTTTCAGAAACCTGATCAGGGAAGCGATTTCCTATGGGCACCTGACCAGACAGCAAGGGACCCTGACAGCTTGCTTCATATCCTGCTTCAGGTATGCACTGTGGAAAGCCAGGAACCTGCTCATAAACAGACACTCAGACCCCACAGTCAACCACTATATTAAAATGGGACTAAGGGAAATGCACTGGTACTACAGGAAGACAGAAGAGGATGACAGGAAAGAAATGGCAGATCTCATTTCGTGGAGAGGGGTCTGGCATAGACTTTTTCAGGAGTAGACCCTCTGAGAAGGGCAGTGGGTGAGGTACAGGTATGGAGATGGGTGCGCGGTTGCATGATGCAAACTGTGTAATTGGGTTTTTAGTGTGCTTTGAGCTGCCAAGTGAACCACAACGCATTTGGCAGAGTGTTGGAGGTGGAGTTATAAATATATTTATATGTATAGAAATAAATATTTTTGCAAAAAAAAAAAAAGTGGTCTGTTCCCACCAGCATTTTTGCTGCCATGGGAGGGTGTTGGAACCTGCTCTGGCCTCTCTGAATGCCAGCCTGGTATTACAGTACCTCCAAGCCGTTGCCTCTTCCCTCCTAGGGGAGTAATTCCCCCACTTTTTTTTTAAAGTGCCACACACACACACACAAATGTATGTCTGTTCCCTCCTAGGGGAGTAATTATCCCACTTTTTTTTTTAAGTGCCACACACACACACAAAGGTTCTTATCAGCATGTTTACCCAATATGGAACATGTGGTTTATAGTCATATTCAGTGTTGTCTGCATTTAGTCAACTTCATAGTCAACTTACTGAGCACATGCTGCTTTTGACAGAAGTTCAATGATAAAAATATATTTTATGAGGCTTTCTTGTATGTAAATATAAGACAAAGAGCTGTTTTCATGCTGATTGGAGGAAAAAACCCCCTCTTCTTATATTCAAGTAAATACAGTACAAAATAATGTGATGTTCTTTATGGTTAAATTACAGATCCCCAACTTCATCTACATCTTAGGGTGCAAACAAAAGTGACAATTTTTGCCGGATCTAGCCACAGAAAGCAGTTTATAGCTGGGACCAAACACAAATGCACGATCCAAACAGTTTCAAAAATGGCTGCTTGGGTGAAAATCTGACCCCTCATTTCATGAGGTATCAGTTGAACATGTTTCATAATGTAGCATCTTCTGTAACTTGTGTCTATGGAGCTCCCAGCCTCTCACTGTTTTGAGAATGGAAAGAGGGAAAGGTGCAGATGGAGTTCAGTCGGGGGGGGGAGTTCAGTTTCCCCTGGAGGGTGGGTCAGGTGTACTGGAGACCCCCTGAAGTGGGGGAGGATGCTCCAGTTTACCCAGTCCACCCTTCAGCACTGGCTGGGGAGCCCCAAGAACAAGCCTCCTCTGCTGCCTTTCCCCCTCCCATTCTGAAAACAGTGAGCACTGGCAGAGAGCCATGGCCATTCCTATGGGAACCTGCCTCCAGGCTCCCAGCTCATATCTGAATTCCCCTCCACCTGGAACCAATAGTGAACTTCTGTTTGGTCTGGAGTAACACTGTAACTTGGAACACTTTGCAGGGAATGTTCTGAGTTACAGCTGGGAGCTGTATTTCTGTCTGCACCCTTAATGTACCTTTTGGTTGGGAACATTAATGAAATATAGGTGTACAATTCTATTAGAATACACAGCCAGAGATACCAGCAGAGGAAAAAAATGAGGATGTTGCACTATGTTTTTGGTACCATTAGTTAGCTAATTGATTTTTAAGTGTTTTGTTTGGTTAAAACTAATACTCTCCCCAGTTAAATAATTAGATAGCTGAGTTATTTTCACTGTTGGAGCAAAACATATGCTACTGCTAAAAAGGTTTTTGGAGCTCCATAAAGTTGTATGGTGAGTGTGCTCTAAACTGAGATGTGGGAGACCTATGTTTGTTGGCAGTCTAACATTTCC